TCTAGGAAATCGTGGTGCGGCAAGGGTGTTAGCCAGCCGGCACCTTCCCGTCTCATGGGCGCAAAGGGAGTGAGAGGCTGGTGAGGCCACAAACGACTGGGGCCTTGGTACTACAGGTGCGTACTTATATGCTTTTCCACCCTTCCGTACTCGCCCGCTCCGTTTCCAGGTACCGCCTGCGACACGTTTCAGCCGTCGCTTGGCGCTCGTCCCTCCCGACGCATTGAGCGCGTTCTACCGAAAGTGCCGTCGGTCGGCCACTTTCAACAAGAGCCAAGATGGCGGGGATAAAGGATGAGGAGTTACCTTCAATGGTGCTCCGGTATTGTTCAGAGCGTGTGCGGAAGGGAATGAAATACGAGCCGGAGTTTGACTCAACGGCCACAGACTGGGAGAAGGTGAAGGAGCGACTGCGTTTCTACTATTCATCTTCAGATGAAAGGGATCGTGGTTCGGCCTCGCGCTTGCGTAGATTTTCTGAAAGAAAGCGAAAGGTTGGGAGCCGCCACGCTCTGGACAAATACATACAAGGATTCAAGGCGAAAGCCGGGAACCTTGTGGCTCGGAAGCAGATTACGAAGGAGGAGCAGGATATTTTGTTCTACAAGGGTCTACCAAAGTGTCTGAGGAGCGAGATAAAGGCACCTGTTGAAAAGGCTGCTGGAAAGCCGCTTACGCAGATGGACCCACCCAAGATGGCTATTGTAATTGGGGAGACGCAAAAGCATTTCAGTGAAGAGGACGTGGACTATAGCTCCAGTTCTCCTTCGGATAGTGAAGAGGGGGACAGTGAGGACGATACAAGTGACACATCATCTTCGTCTTCGAGTTCGGAGTCAGATGACTTGGAGGAGGAACGAGAGAAGCGGTGAAAGGGGAAAGGGAAGTCGTCTTCAAAGAAGACGAAGAAAGCGACGACCGATACGGAGGCAGATCTGTCTCAAGTGTCGAAGCTGCTAGCGGAGGTGAGGCAGCTCAGCCTCAGGTTGGAGGCCGCTCAATCAGTCAGTAATACACCGAGATCACAGACCCCTGTGCCTGATCGTGTGTGCTCGTCGGCGTATCCTCAGCCAGAGGGGGATATGTCGAAGAGCTGCTATATGTGTGGAAAGACTCAAGGCATCGACCTTGACCATCCATTTGGTATGCGCAATTGTCCTATGACCGAGAGACTGGTCTTGGAAAACATTATAAAATACGCATCCAATGGGAGATTGGTGCACTGCGATGGGACCCTTCTCCCGAGGTTTCCAGGGAAGGGTGGAATTGCGGCTCTTTTGATCGCAGAGAGCAAGGCGAGGTTGGGGGATCGGTATAGAGACCTTCCACCGCACCAGATGACAAGAGACGTCCAGGCAGTTGGGTTGCTACGGGATTCCCAAGAGGTGATTCGAGGGAATGTCTTTGCGGTATCGGCAGACCAGGTCTACTCTTTTTCTGCTGTCACGCAGTCAAAGGCGAAGCCTACTGTGGAGACAGAGTCAGAAGAGGAAGTCAGCGGACTGCGGGAAGTAGATATCGAGCATGCGAAGGGCCGTGGAAGTGGGAGGCCATCCATTGTCAAGGTACAATCGCCATCGGACAAGACAGCGTTCACCCGAGTAGAAGGCGGAGATTCTCCGGGGCATGGAAAAGGCTCGCAGATGCACTCTAGCAACACAGAGGAGGGTTGGAAAGAACGAGAGAGGAAGAAAGCGGAAGAGTGGCGTTGGGGAGATGGCAAAGACAAGTATGGTGACAGGAGCGGGGCACAGTACAGATTCACGTCGCAGCTACAAGACAGTGTCTCGATCGATGAGGTTCAAGCACGCATATTGGACTCGGAGATCTCATTGCCGATTCGGGCCATATTAGGAGCTTCACCGGAGCTACAGAAGCGCATCGCCTCCATGACCAAGACTCGTCGGGAGTTCTCAGCCAAAGCTGGCGACAGCGTGCTGGTCAGCCTGACATCCCCTCCTGAAAGCCCGGACCATCAGCAGGTCACTGGGCGTGCTTCCGGCTCACAGCTAGATGTCGCAGATGCAGACAAGGGTGGAGATTCATCGGGTGTGGCCTATCTAACATGTGCGGACCCGACGGAGGCTATGCAAATCCTCCATCGGTTTGCGAATGCGGTGTCTCTTGGATCAAAATGCTTCTATGCCATGGCAAGCGGCATTGTGCAAGGGAAGTTTGGCTCTGAGGACATTACCTACCTTGTCGACAGCGGCTCTGAGCTCAATCTCATTACGAGCCGGGTATATGACCAAGCGGGCGTCGAAATCGATTCCGACGGTGCTCGCTGGTCCCTCAAAGGAATCAGCGGAGATCCAGTTCCCTTACTCGGGTGTTGCAGGGATGCTCCAGTCGAGATTGGAGGCTGGCGATTTGATCACCACTTCTTCGTCGGCACGTGGAAGTTCGGTCATCACGACGGTATCCTCGGTCAACCGTGGCTCCAGTGGTACTCTGCGCAGATCGACTACACCCGCAGAGTTTCAGCCGACCTTCTCGCTTACCCCTCAGAAGATCGTACCAGCAAATGCCTTCGTATCTGTCTCATCGGAGTCGATAACTCACGGAACTCAGACCGGCTCATCATGGCTTCCAGTGGTGAGACAGACGGAGTGGGCGCCCTCTGACTGGGCCAACAAGACCTCTAAGTCTACCCCTCCAGCAGCCGGAGGGGGAGATGACATTCCAAGCGTTGGCCGCACGCTTCTCTCATTATTAGGAGTTACTTCTCTGGGGATGGACGATGATATTATTTCCTTATCACAGCTTCAGCCGCCGACTTCGTTTGACCATCTTCTTCAGCAGACACGCTTTGCTTCTGCGGTTTCATCAGCACCTTTTTACTCTTCTTGGACTTCTCGAGCTTTTTCTTCTTATACAGCATTCACTTCAGCAGGAAAACGATATAAGCCGGTTCATCGCAAAGTGCGTCCGGTCCCAACCTATATGCCGAATCCAGCAGCGCAAGTTTTCTCTCCAATCATTATCCCCAAGCTGGATCCATTGCCGACGCATCCCCCTCCACGTATTGCATTCATCCCTACCAATCGTCTGATGCAGGAACGTTTGGATGCGATTCTGCATATGATCCCGGCGAACTTTCTCTGGTCCGAAGAGATCGACCTACTCATCCACGTCCTGGACATCAATCAGCAAGCAGTCGCATGGACAGACGCCGAGCGAGGAACGTTCAGCCGAAAGTACTTCCCGGACTACGAGATTCCGGTTATCAAACACACTCCCTGGGTAAACAAGCCCATTCCTATCCCCAGGGCAATCGAGGAGAAGGTGCGCGCTGTACTCCGATCTCAGGAGGCGGCCGGTAAGTACGAACATTCTTCTGCTTCATATCGTGCGAATACCTTTGCTGTCTTAAAGAAAGATGGGAACATTCACATGGTAATCAATCTGGAGAGCCTGAACAGCGTCACAATTCGTGATTCGGCCTTGCCTCCTCGGGCAGATGAATTTGCGGAGCAGTGCGTAGGGCGATCCATTTATCTCCTCGGAGATTTGTTGTCAGGCTATGATGCACGAATCCTTGCCGAGTCCTCGTGTGACTTGACGACCTTTCATTCCATTGAGGGTCCGAAGCGCGTCACCTGTCTTCCACAGGGGTATATGAACGCGATGCAGGAGTTCCAGCGGGATACATCACACGTTTTGGGGCCAATGGCTCCTAAAGACGCAAATGTCTTTGTCGATGATGTGGCCGCCTTGGGACCTCCAACCAGATATGACGACGAGACGTTGCCGGACAACCCGCGCATTCGTCAGTTTGTCTATGAGTTTGCTGGAACTATTAACCTTCTTTTCCGTCGTTTTATTGAAGCAGGTTGTTGGAAGTCCTACGGACTTGTATGTTCAGTAGGACGCGGACTTAGTAGTTTCAGCGCGCGTTCGCTTACATAATCACATAGCTATGTCGCGCCTGAGCGCTTTTGTCACCTCAG